TTTTTTTTTTTTTTTTTTTGTCCACTTTATTTTTGTTTTTTGTTTTTTTGGTAAAAAAATCCTTTATCTTGGGCAAGTGACACATCTCTGTGATATTTATTTATTGATATTAAAACATCGATTGTTCAGTTTGTTGACGTCCACTTAGAGAAATTCATAGGTATTGTCTCATCAAACTCTTCAAGTAAATAAACGATAATAAGATCGAACAATACTAATCGTAATTAAAAGAGATTAATTAATTCAAGCAGTTATGAATTTTAACAATTAAAAGATTTGCCATATGGAATTATTTTCTTAATCAGTTATTATCATAAGAAAATTTCTACATTGAAAATAGAAATATCTTGGAAATGACCGACATGTAGGGAAGTAAGAGGATAGAAGGAAAAGAAAAAGGGGAAAGAAAAGATAAAAAGGGAAAAATGTTGCAATTAAAAATACAAAATTTGACACATTTGCTAATGTTTTTTATTGACTCGTAAGAGTGCAAATAAATGTCTTATGGATCGTGGCAGATGTAATTACCTCTAAAAAAACTGGGAATTTCAAGGGCTAAGAGGGCCGAGAAAATAAATAAAAAGGGCCGACAAATACTAAGTCTAACATGACAAAAATCGGATTACAACCGGTTCACGAGACAATTGCACTATAACGCAAAAACGAACATTTCTCACCAACAAATGAATAATAATAAAACGAAAATAAATTAAGTAAACTAAGACATCTACGAAAATTATTTAAGTAATTGATCATTTAGACAAGGGCATCTAAATAATCTTATTAAAATTAACGGTAGATTAGCCGAGAAACTCAATTCATAATAGACAAGTAAAGCAACACTCAAGAAATCAAATAAACGAGCAATCTCTACTAATAAACGAACGGGGCCACTTCAAAACATAAGCTCAATACTACATAACTATAACATCCATAACATAAGTTCAATAGTCGATAACAACATCCATACATACAGCCCTCCTACAAAACATAAGTTCAATACTACATAACAATATCATAACATAAGTTCAATATTAGATAGCAATAAAATCCATAACAAAAGTGCAATAGTAGATAACTAAAACAGTAGCAGTCTTCCCTCCTTTTCTCTCATATTTTCCTCAAAACAACAACATCCTTTCCCTCATATCTTCCTCAAAACCAACACTCCTGCCAGAAGTGAAAGTGAAACAGAGCAAAAAAAATTTGAAAAATAAAAATTTGTGTCCGACTAGAGGTCCAAATGGCTCGGTTCCAACTTTCGATGAATTTGCGCTGCGCGAGATTTACGATGGATTGAGCGATGATCTTCGCGTAAGGGTGGGACAGCACTTCTGGGACCTAGATTCGAGGTATCTGGATGGCCTTACCGATGGGAAAAAGGAAGTGGAGCACTGTAAGTTTCTGGTAGGTGTTTACTACAAGCACGGATATGGTTTGGGCTTCATGTTTGCGGCTTACTTGGATGTCGTGTGCACAGCTAAGCAAAATATTGCCAGTAAGCAATTCAAACTTGTTGGTTTTACTTGAATGTCTAACTTTTGTTGGGATTGAATGTCTAACTTTTCTTGGTTTTATTTGTAGATTGGATTCCAGCCTTTATACTTGTTCCAGGAGCTGAGGTCACTCAAGCAATGGTGACTCAGCATATTCACACTGCTCTAGTGAAGGTTCGTTTGTATCGAGTGACGAGAGGGACTCTTGGTGGAAGATACATTGTCAGAGAACTTCTGTTTGTTGTTAGCGATGTGGGCGTCCCACAAGTGTTTGCTGGGGGATGGTCTCCAGCAAGTCTAACATTCCTCAGCAACACTTGTGGGACGCCCACATCGCTAACAGCAAACAGAAGTTCTCTGACAATGTATCTTCCACCAAGAGTCCCTCTCGTCACTCGATACAAACGAACCTTCACTAGAGACTATTCTTATTCCCCCGAATAGGCTTGCCGAGGCTCTTGTGATTACCCCGAATATCTGAGGTTCAGGTAATGTCTCTACATTTCTCCTATCTCTCGATCCCTTTTAGTTTTGCACTTTGAATTGTCTGTAAAGTTCATCAAGCCCATTGAAACGAAAATGAAGAAAGAAAGAGATCAAAGAAAAATCAATTAGCAATTTAGATGGAAGAAATAAGTAAATAAGAAAGAAAGAGATGAAAGTAGTGTTTGATTTCCTGTGGTCGATTTCCTTGTCTGTTTTCTTGTGGTTTTTTTATTTTTCAAATTTTTTTTGCTGTTAGCGATGTGGGCGTCCCACAAGTGTTGCTGAGGAATGTTAGACTTGCTGGAGACCATCCCCCAGCAAACACTTGTGGGACGCCCACATCGCTAACAACAAACAGAAGTTCTCTGACAATGTATCTTCCACCAAGAGTCCCTCTCGTCACTCGATACAAACGAACCTTCACTAGAGCAGTGTGAATATGCTGAGTCACCATTGCTTGAGTGACCTCAGCTCCTGGAACAAGTATAAAGACTGGAATCCAATCTACAAATAAAACCAAGAAAAGTTAGACATTCAATCCCAACAAAAGTTAGACATTCAAGTAAAACCAACAAGTTTGAATTGCTTACTGGCAATATTTTGCTTAGCTGTGCACACGACATCCAAGTAAGCCGCAAACATGAAGCCCAAACCATATCCGTGCTTGTAGTAAACACCTACCAGAAACTTACAGTGCTCCACTTCCTTTTTCCCATCGGTAAGGCCATCCAGATACCTCGAATCTAGGTCCCAGAAGTGCTGTCCCACCCTTACGCGAAGATCATCGCTCAATCCATCGTAAATCTCGCGCAGCGCAAATTCATCGAAAGTTGGAACCGAGCCATTTGGACCTCTAGTCGGACACAAATTGTGAGCGCTAAAACTGTTAGCCTCAATTGGGTGCAACATGACCCCACCCATTCGACTCCGAATCATTCAAAGCATACTCACGTGATCGCACGTAATGACAGCCTAAGTGCAGCCTCCCTGGCGGCCGAGGACCACCCTAAACAATTGTATAAGTGTACAAAAATTAATAAACAAACCTAACCCCCAATAGAAATAAAACAACCAGAAAAATTGGAACATATAAAACACTCAGTAAAAAGAATGACATGAGCGGAAGGACATTTCAGAGCAATGCGTGTATATCACACTAGATCACAACCAAAGGCAACTACATATATCAATACATCTTTATTCTTATTCACCAACAGCAGGTATCCAAAGACCCAAAACCACAACCCCAATCTCATTTCTAAAACCTAGGCCACAAAATGAAAAAAATATAAAACAAGAAAAAAGAAAAAAGAACAACATACAAGCGAAGATCACACTGGATCACAACCAAAGGAACTCTATATCAATACACCAATTCATTCTTATTCATCAACAGCAGGTATCAAGCCAAAGACCCAAAAACCACAACCCTATACATCAAAACTCCTGGAAATCTCGTTTCTAGACGTAGGGCACAAAATAAAAAAAAATATAAAAAAATATAAAATAAAACAAAAAAAAAAAGAAAAAAGAAAAACATACCGGAGATGGAGAACGATAGATTGGTGGGTTTCCATACCCTTGCCCTTTGAAAGGATAGACAACATCTGGATTTCCATGCCTTGCCATTGTGAAGGTCTTTCTGGGTTAGGGTTTTTGTGAAGGTGCAGATTTCGTACTGTGTTTCTCCAAAACCCAAGGGTAGGGGTTTTTGATTTGTTGGTTTTTATATTTGTTTTACATGTTAAAGAGTTTTTAGTAAGTGTTTTGCATAGCAGTTCTCTTCGTTTGCGTTTTAGGAGAAAGCGTCTCTTGGCTATGCCCCTTGCCCAACAGGAGTTGACGATTTTATAAGTGAGTAGAATACTAATTATAATTTTTTAAACTAATAATTACTCAACAAATAATTATTATTAAAAAGTATTATTATCATAATTTTAATATAACTTTATTTAACTAATGTACATAATATATTATTTATAAGTAACATATTATTAATAACTATTAAATCAAAATTTATCTGAATTAATCTAAATCAAAAGATTAATTCAATTCTATTTTTAAACATTTAAAAATTTAAAATATTTAAACATATTTAAATAATCTTAATTATTAAAAAAATTAAAAAAAATCTCTAATAAAAATTCAAACTCGTCGGTCATCCGAAGGTGCGGCCGTCTCTGAAAACCGGCCGCGCCTATGGTCGGCCACGACACCCTCGGCCTGCCGGCAGAAATTTCAAAGTTTTCTTAAAAATATTTTACTAAGCGAAAAAAAAAAAATACTAGAAGAATTATAGGACTTTTGTCTTTGTCATGGGAACGATTAGCCATTTTTTTGGAATTGATTTGGCCAGAATCCAATTAGGGGAGTTTGGGAGTGTTTTTGGAATATTTTTGAAAGATAGGAAATTATGAGAGAGGCAAAACGATCAAAGAGGGACGACAGGTAGTAATAAAAGGGCCGGTGTTTGGCGATTAACTAAAAAGTACTGTTAGATTTGAATATATCAAACACGCGAGAAAGTTTACAAGAGACTGACTTTACAAAACCATGGTGTCACTTATAACCACTTGACCATGTGCTAGTAAAATGGTTGGAAACAAGCAGCTTCCTGAATGATGAAAAAACACACACACACACACACACAATTGCACTATACTAGTCAAGAAAACAAACAAACTAAAACAAAACTAAAAGCATGCCACACTGCCAGTAACTGGACTGAGGTCTGAGAATATCATTACATCACACTCACAGTCACATGTGACAATGCAAACTCATGTGACCAAACCCAGAAAGTCAAAGAAACTTAAAACAAACTACTATAAAGCATCCAGGGTCCAAGTAAGTCGGTGCAAAAACAACAGCAATACTAGATAAATTAAAAAGGGCACCTACATTATACAAGATTCACACAACTCCGCCTTTACTACTGGTGTCTCTTACGAATCCATATGCATCACTTTTTAACTCATCAATAGAATTCTCGTAAGTGTATGGAGCAAATCAGAGGTCCCACGATACTCAGAGTCAATTCAAACACGAGTGCCTGGAGCACTTTGGAATGGCTCGACAAGTTTACAAGAATTTAGCGAGCTGCATCCATCTCATCTTACTAACTCACATAATCGAGCTCTGCCCGGGTTAAGTAGAGATTCTGACATAACCCATCCCTGCAGGAAAAACAACACTTTTCAGCTAACTGAAATTATAAACAAGATTGTGATAGTAATGATCCACAAGGACCTCACACTTAAAGCAGAGAACATGCATAACTAATTCATTTAATAATAATATATATGCGTGTTGTGTGTGTGTGTGTGCCCCCTTGTATTCATCCAAGGTACATGCGCAATTTGGGTTGTGGGATATTGATTTTGTTATTTACTGTCTGACATTGATGTGAAAATCCAAAGGTATGGTCAAGCTGCAACCTAGCACAGAAATATAGTTCCTAATGCAACAGCAATTTCTAAGACCAAAAGGAACAACATAATAAAAAGCATCCACATGTTCAATTTTAAAATTGACAGCAACATGAAACATGAGTGCAAAATTTTAGTTATACATCTTCATTTTAGTTGTGTGGACATCCAAATCCTGTAAACATAGCTTATGCCATTACTAAATAGCCCTATGTCACTAAGTCGAGCCATCATGGATTAGCTGTCCAGCCACTTAATTGGCATTTTCTCTAAATAAAAAACAACTCATGAAATGAACCTAAATGGGCAATTTTGTGTTACCTGTTCTTTAGTTTTGTTTTTAAAAGGTTCATATAAAGCGGAAACCATCTTGTATGATTCTGCAATATGAGACTGAAGATCACCCAAAGTAGGGGATACAACTGAAAGATCATGTTCTTGTGTTCTAGAGGTCGGTGAGTTCTGATTGGAGGAACAGATGATGTGAAGAAGCACATGAGCCTGTACCACAATGTGAAAATTAGCAAGAAGCATTGTGAATATAAAATCAACAGCTCTACAATCTTACATGAAAAGCTGCTTTCAGTATATCATCAGACTTCGCTTGATCCTTGAACAAAGCATAGATTTTTCCTTTAGAAGGATTACAGGTCACAATGTATCGTTCTTTCTGTCATCGAGAAGATTTAAGTCAAACTTATAAGTGACAGCTCAAGTCTACGGGCAATCACGAGTATGTACAATTACACGGGCATGTACACGCAAGTCTTTTAATAGAGCACATGAAGAAGTATGGGAGGGTTAGGCTGACTCGCGAGTATCATCTTCAAGCAACAAGCGACAAGTAACGTACCTCAAAAATTGGTTCCAACGTGAGATATGAATTGGGATCTTGGAATGCATCTTTAAAACGTGGTCCTGCAGATCAAAATTTATTCATTATTAACTCAACTCTGCAGTGAAAGAAAAGCCCTTGTGAATCTGCATCATGTTATAGCATTTGTGTGAGTGAATGTGAGTGTGTGAGTGAGTGAGTGTGTGTGTGTGTCTCCGTGTGTGTGAGAGAGAGGGAGAGAGGGAGGGAGAGGGAGAGAGAGAGAGAGAGAGAGAGAGAGAGAGATGTACCAAGAACAATAGGTCTGTGGTTTTTCCATGGAGGACTGAAAATATTTTCTTTTAAATTTCCCTCTTCCAAACTGGGAACTTGCCCTGAGAGAGGGAGAGAGAAAGAAAGTCACAGATCAAAATTCTTGTTTTCAATGAAACATATGAGTACAATTTTTACTACATGTCCAACTTTATGTGAACAAGCCCCATATTTTTCTGATCAGTAGGTGAAGCATAAGTATGAACATATTATATCTATCACAAACCATCTCATAGTTTACCAATTTACTAAAACAGCTCCCAATTCTCCAGGTGTATCCACATCTCTACACATCTTTTGTTACTTCCACACTAGGTTTCACTACACATTAGGTGCATCAAACGTCCAAACAACTTCTGTGCCCTGTTACGTGTCCACCTTATGGTTAACTGGGATGATAGGCAATATTATCCAATCTTTATCATTTTATGGCAAATCCACCTTGCCAATCTGATTTCGACTATACCCAATTAGTGATATTATTGTTTTCTCAAAATATGAATACCAAAACCAATAGAATATTGCTACTTCTATGCAATGTTTAGAGAAACTCCTTCAATCTTAGCATGAACTCTTTTGTCAACAAGACAGTGATAGCTGTCCTTGACAAAATCCACGTAGCTTAAAACAAATCACCTACCATACCATTATCCTAGAGAAAATTAAGCAAACCACACCCATCTTCATAAACTCAACAAGTATTGACAATGGAACTATGGAAGACTTCGGTGGAAAACACAGTGACAGAAAAAATCTTTCGTTCCTCTTTCCATCATTCGTAACGATTTCTAACAAAGAAGAAAGAGAGCTCTTTGAGCCAGTATACGTGCATAGAAATAGTTTGTTTGAGGAATCAATAAGCTCAAGTTTATATCAATGTTTTATTTGAAAGCTCCGTATACCAGACAATCGTATCAACTTAGATCTAGAAATCACAGTGTGCATCTCCACCTTTGGTTTAAATCAGATGCAGTTCCTAAATGCATACACTAACATCTTTGTTAATTACTCTTCTATAAATGCTTTAAATAACTTAAGAAAATAGCTTCATTTGTCTGAATCGTAATACTCATTCATTTAAAGTTTTAAAAGTGTATGATCATATACCTCGATTGCACCCACCTTTACTAGCCTTTCAAACTCTCATCACTAAGGCACTTGACTCTTAAATACATCTTCAATTTTTGGTTCACAGTTTAGAAACTACAGATACTATTTTATCAGTGGCCTCTTACACAGCACCTTCAGTGTCTTTCTGGTCCATGTGTGCTTTCAGAATTTTGTTCACTCCCATTAACTAAATATATTCACTTCTAATTGGCATGTGTCCTCGACACCAATGTTACTCTTTGCTCAACAATTCATTCCTTGGTTCTTTATATCTACTCTTTGATCTTTCTTCCCCATATAATTACAGAAACATTTATAATACAGCCATGTAACCAGAACAATGAGATAAACAGGAACCATGGAGATCACCCATCATACCTGTACTCAGGAAGGATTCCACAGCCACAGTGAATCGTGCACGATTAAGTGTATGCAAAACAACTGATTTGACCTGAAAGATAATTAGCAAACAACTTTAGAACATTAAAAGAGCATAATTATGAAGGAAAATGGCGTGGAAGTAATGCTCATCATTCAACCTCTTTATACGAGCTCATCAGATATCCACAAGAGAGCAGAGCAAATGTAGTGAACAAGGATGGGTTCCTTTTAGAAATCACAATGCTGAGTCCAGTTCCAAGCTTCACGAGTAAGGATATACTTAATTAGTTTCAATACAAAATGAATTCTTTAACCAAACACAAGTAAAGCATGAATATGATAGAGTGCAATCGAGAAGTTAAAATTTGAGACAAACTTTAAACTTGTAAAATCCTTTAAAGTCACAAATATAATTTGTTAGCCATAATCTGAAGATGATGGGATATAGGGGTCATTTTAATGCAAGTTTGGCTCAAGGTGCCAATTTAGAGCATCTCCAATGGCATGTGGATTGCCTCATTTTGTTGCCACATGGCACAAGAAAACCTACGTGGCCTAAAAAAATTCTAGAAGTCCTTCTAGATGTAGAAGTACTTCTAGACAACTTCTACTACATATTATATTATTTATGCAATTTATTTCTTCTTTTCAACCAATTAGAAATTTACACATGTCAAATTAAACCATCTTTAACATTAATCATTGGAGACACAATTTCTTAATCTCCATCCTTCATGCCATGCAACTCAAAATGGACAAGATATTATTGGAGATACTCTTAGGCACTAAATAGTCCTAGATTGCATCTACGCCCCACTAACCAAAGTCAGCCCATTTTTATTCGCAACACAAAATCTCAAGCAGCAAGTAACTGTTTTTATGAAAGCATTGATTGTGCAAAATAAATTAACCAGATTCCAATATGGTTTATCTCTAAAATAAAATAACTTGAAATAGCCAACTATAAAATCTAGAGGAATGCAGAGAAAACAAGAACAAAATGAATTACAAATATACAAACGTAAATATATATGTATATATGTATATGTATATCTAAAAGAGCATTAAATAAATCTGTGAACAGTGTGCTTTATCATAAGCAAGATAGCATTATGAAGCCTCTTTGAGAAACTGCAGAGTTACAACACCACGTTAATTCAGTATTTCCATGGGAAAAGTTTCTTCATAATGTGAAATTTAATCGGACAGCAATAGACCACATATGATGTTTCTTAAGTAAACAAGCCTACCAGATCAGCAATATTTCCAACACATTCTCCCTTGGCAGTCACATCTCCAATATTTTCTCCCTTAGCAAACGCTTTGTAAATTGGAGTTCGAGTTGAAGTTGAAGTCACAGCAGAAACATTCTATTGACAAACAAAGACAGATGTTTGAAGTTAATTTTCAGGTATAGCTAGGAACTGACAAGCAAACAAGCCATAGGTCATAAACCTTAGCAACATTAGCTGCACATGCCAATGGAAGAAATAGATGGGGAACAGCTGCTGTTGCCAACTCTACTCCAGCTCCTAACTCCATTAGGAGATCACCAGCAAATCTAAGCTGAATGGAGTTTGAAATATGAGAATTTAGAGAATGGCATTGGGAAAACAATAAACATCTTTCACCACCAAACAAACAACGTTATACCTGCTTTAGATCGTAATCAAATTTCTTTCCCTGGCGGGCAAAAAGCATCTTCCCAACCCGTCCAGCACCATCCTATAATTAGCCACATTGAAGATTTAACAGTTAGATCAACTGCATTTAATGCCTTATCACCTAAGAAGTGGCATGCTGAAAGAAGCATCCCATATTAGCTTAAATTAACATGATATGTATCCAACCAAAACTGCTGTCAAGACCTTGATCTGGTCATAGTTTCCACATACGTGATATTTATGCCACTTAAAAAAGTGCCCTAAATCTAGAAGCTTCATACGTACGTGACCACGAAAGAGCAAATATTAGTTAACTCATTAATACCCTGAAAAAGTTGTATGATTTGACATTTCACACAATTAATTTCTTACTACAAGAAAGTAGCTAACGTTAGCCCTATATATACCTTGAGGATCCAATTGATAGCTACAGCGCCTGATGTAGTATTTCTAGATACTCCAAGTGAGCTAAGGAGTGTTTGCGTAGTAAAAACACCCATAGCTCCGCCAAAGAAGTGCTACAACCAAAACAAAATTACAACGTCATCCTGGAGCAGCTGGACATTAATTATTACAACAAGTTTATTTAATGATGAAATAATAATTGCTTTCTTGCTACCATTAAGATATTGAGTACCTTCAAAGCTCTCCATGTCATGTATGGCACATAAGAAGGTGTCACACTGTCAGGAAAACCTTCTGGGACGACATAGGACCTTATAAATGTCATCAGCTCCTAGAGACCATAAACAACTTAAGTTAAAGAAGAGGGAAAATAATCCATGACAGAAATTTGCAACTTCATGATGCCCTTTGCTTCTCCACTATTTCTTCTTCATATTTCTTATTACTTTTACTTATCATTAAAACCTTTTACGTAGAGAGGAGTGCACATGCCCTCACGCATACATATCAAGAGATGTTAGTATCCCTTCTTTGATTTTCTCTATTAACTCTCTGTCTAATCAATGATGCCATTGGTCAAGTAGCTTGTTATGACTGCAAGTATTTTAAGTATGTCTACAATTATCACGCAAGAGCAGCTATAACGCCAACACCGCCTGTTAATATCTAATAATTGGCACACAGAACAATTATATCAACAACATTTATTGAGTCTCTTCACAGCAAAGAAGAAGTCAAGAGGTTTTCAACTTTTTATCACGAAAAAACAAGGTTGTCTTTCATCTCCTCAAGAAAAAAATAGAAAAACCAGAATAGGATGAAACAAAATCAACAATTCGTATGGGTGGAATGATGGACCGTCTTAACTGCAATGCATGGACACAGAAATGGAACCAGTATGGCCAGTAAGAACTTTGGAGAAAGTACATAACTTGAAATGAGAGAGAGACAGAGGGAGAGAGAGAGAGAGAGGAAGAGAATTGACCTCAATGGGAGCCTGGGGAGTCTGCAAACTAACAGCACGAATGGAATTCTTCTTCGATTGCTTGGCGCTACTACTTTTGATGCCATCGTTGTAGCTATTTTCGGCGAGGTATTGCCACCGCCTGCCATCAACCTCCTCGCAGCAGATCAACCTCAGGCTCGAATCGAGGAATTGATCCTTGACAAGCCCAACAAAGCTGGAATCAGGAACCAACGGCCGCTCTTGAGCCGCCTTAGCAGCGGCGGGGGGTGATGGCGGAGCCGCCGAGGCGAGGTCGGCGCTGATGCGGAGGGACTCGCGCACGAGGAGGCGCGTATCCGATGAAGTCAGGCTTTGCGATGCCGAATTAGAAGGGTGCTTGAGCTTCATTGCGTCCGAATAATGGAAAAATTAAAGATCAAAAAAGAAGCTGCGGTTTTTATAGTGCGTACGCGTGTGTGGATATATATGCGTTTTGAATGGAGAATGCAGGTTTGGGTAGCTATAATTAGGCGAGCGGAGATTAATAGGGTGATTTTCTTGTTGAGATTTGGTCCTTCGCTCTGCTCCTTTCTTTTTCTCTCTGAGAGAGTGGAGAGAGAGAAAGCGAGCGAGCAGGTGGTGAGTTGTGAGGAGGGACGGCGAGGAGGTTTAATAGAGTTACCACTGACGAACATTATAGATGGACAAGTGGCGGTTGCTGCTGTACACTCAATTTTTAGCGTCAATCTGGACGGTGAGATGGAGAACCGGCGACAAAAGAATAAACATAAAGGGAAAATTCTATTAGAAGTCAAACTTTTTGTAATGGTATCAACTCAGACCTAAATTTTATTTTTTCTCAATAAAATATTTACATTTTAGATCATTCTCAGTTTAAGGTCTACTTTTTTTGTAAATTCTTTATTATAAGGTCTAACTAACTTTACTGTTTAACATAAATATGTAAACCAATTATTATGTGATAAAAATGTTATTATTATTTTTTCTTGTAATTAATATTTTACATACTTATAATATAAAATAATTAATATCTTTAAAAAAATTACCTTAATGAAAAAATGAAAGTATATAAATTATATATATGGAAAATATAATAATGATTATCTTACAAAATTGATACGTGAATTTAAAAATATGTAATGGAAATCTTATTTTTATTAATAAACTAAATATGTACTATGGTATCAAACTTTTGCGTAAGAAAAAAAAATAAAATCCTGAAAACATAAAATAAAGGCAACATTATATAAATATTATTTTTTTATATTATTACATATTTATAATATTAATAGAAATAATATTTTAATCCATATTTTTTAATTTATCAATTTTTAAAAATAATCATTATTAAACTTTTGCATAATTGTAATTTATATAGTATCATTTTTTATTAATGTAATTATACTAAAGATATTATTTTTTTTATTATAAGTATGTAAAATATAAATTACAAGAAAAAAATATTAATAATATTTTTGTTCACATATTTATGTCAAAAAGTAAATTTAGTTGGTCCTTATAATGAACAGTTAACTAAAAAGTAAGCCTCAAATTGAGAATAATCTAAAATGTAAGTCTTCTATTGAAAAAGAATAAAATTAGGCCTTAAATTAATACAAATACAAAAAGTTGGGTCTTGTAATGAAATTTTCCCAAAATGTAAATGATAAAACTAATAAACAACAACAAAACAAGTGTGTAATATTCACCGACCCGTACCTCCCCTTCTGAATAATTTTGTTCCGACATTTTCTAAAAAAAACTTAGAAAATCGTAAATTTTCTGATGTTCTTTTTGTTTTGAGGGATTTACTGAGGGATTTGAAATCCATAGGTTTCAAATTTATAAGTTCATATATTTATGCATGTTGGGATGGTAATGGAAGTTGGAGGATTTCAAATTAATGGTAGATGTTTTTTAGTCATTATTTTGAAGGATTTGAAATGACTCATCAAACCTAGTCATTTGAAATCCACTGTGAAGGGTCTACTCTCAGATCTGAAGTGAACCGGTGGTAAGGAGCTCAGATCTGTTTAAATCGCCTTCGAACCGTTGCTAGACCGCGAGAATACCTGCAAAAACTCAACGCCGGAGGTGTTTCCGGCGTAGAGCCTCCGACGCTCAAGTCAGTATCAGAGTGATGAAGAGAGGCTGCGCAGCAGCTATGAGGGAGATTGGAGAATGAGAGTTAGGGTTTGGAGTTACCTCACCTCCTTTATATAGGAGTGAACACTTACTTGAAGTACCCGAAATGCCCCGGTCGGTTGACCTGTAAGGTCTAAATTTCCCCGTTCGATTCGTCTCCCCTTGCTGCTGATTCATCACAAGATTCCTTCTTATCCCTTATAGAATGCAGCCTTGAGTGTACTACAAGTGTATTAAATCATCGTTGTGCCTCACGTCTCGAGGTAGAAGGAGTGGACATCGGGCAAAGGTAAGTCGACCCAGGGTCCGGTTATTCGGAGCCTACGCTCCTGTTGGTCTTCTCAAATAGATATCGACTATCTGGAAATCGACTGCACCAAATCGACTTGCATGATATCTGCCCCTTCTCATCGTCATATATATGAAGGTTGACTTTGAGAAAGTCGACTCGAGAACGTCGACGGGTGTATGTCGACATGTGAGCGGTTTGAGCTACTGTTCGGTCGAGTTGAGAGCCTTTGAACCGGAGTACCTCTATATGACTAGAGCTACTGTTGGGTTTGAGCTACTGTTCGGTTTGAGCTACTGTTCGGTTTGAGCTACTGTTCGGTTTGAGCTACTGTTCGGTTTGAGCTACTGTTGATCTATGGGAGTCCAAGCCGACTTCTACTGGCATAAGCCCATAGGACTGTCGTCAACTCGTCAACCCAGGTTCCCGACGCTTTCTTCAATATTTTCTTCAACCTTTGGAGAATGGTCCAATTGGTTACCTCGACTTGCCCATTAGCCTGTGGGTGTGCGACTGAAGCGAATCGTTGCTTGATTCCCATGTCGAGGCACCAAGCTTGGATCCGTTTCCCTTGGAATTGAGTTCCATTGTCCGAGATCAGCACCTTTGGAATTCCGAATCGACAGCAGATGTTGTTGAATAAGAATTGTATCATTTTTTCTTCAGTAATTCGGGCCAAGGGTTCTGCCTCGACCCACTTGCTAAAATAGTTGACTGCGACTACCAAGAATTTTCTCTGTTCCGTCCCCATTGGCAATGGGCCCACCAAGTCGATTCTCATTGAGCGAAGAGAATTGGTGAGTTGATTGTCGTCATGTATTCAGCGGGGATATGCGTGATTTGGCCGTGGCGCTGGCATTTTTCGCATTTCTGGACTAACTGTTCTGCCATTGTTCGAATCTTGGGCCAATAATAGTCTGCTCGCAGGACCTTTCCAGTTAAAGCTCGAGACCTAACATGTGCTCCGCAGCATCCTTCATGGATTTCTTTTAGGACATGAATCCCATCTTCCTCAGAAACACATCGGAGGTGGGGCCCGACCAACGACTTCTAATACAGGACCCCGTCGACTTCAAAATATTTGCTCAGGTATCGAGCGACCTTTTCCGCCTCCTGCTTGTCTCCTACGTGTACTCGACCCTGCAAAAGTTCTCGAATCGGCTTTCTCCAATCCTCTTTCTCCTTGACCTCCATTGCTTCACCCAAGACACTTCCCTCTAAGTGCATGGTGGTAATATGGTTTCCCATCTTTCCTTCATTTGCACTGGCCATTCGTGCGAGCAAGTCGGCTCGTTTGTTTTCTTCTCACGAGACTTGTGTCAATTTAAATTTTTCCAGGCCTTGTATGAGGCTTTCAATCTCTTCGACATACGTCATCATTCTATCCTCCTTAATTTCACAGTTTCCCAGCACTTGTCCGACGACGAGTTGTGAGTCAGAATGTGTCGAGATCTCTGTTGCTCCGCCACCGACTGCAAGTTGAATTCCTTTGATTAGTGCTTCATATTATGCTTCGTTGTTCGAGGCTTTGAACCCCATTCTGTTGGCGAAGTCGAGCTGCTCGCCCTCGGGAGACACAAGGATGACTCCCAGACCGGATCCTTTGGACGCAGAGGACCCGTCGACATGCATGATTCATTTTCTTTCTTCTCCCTTGGTACCCTCTTGGATAAAATCCGCCAAAGCTTGGGCCTTTATGGCTCGTTTGGGCTCATATCTGATGGAGTATTCGCTTAACTCGACTGCCCACTTCACGAGTCGACCTGAGACAGTAGGTCGATCCAAAGTTTCTCTCAATTGGAAATTCGTTCTCACCACTATCGTATGATTCAGGAAATATGCCTTAATTTTCTGGCTGTTATGACCAACGTCAGGGCGGCTTTCTCGACTTCTGGGTATCTCGTCTGCACACCTTGGAGCACTCGACTTGTGTAATAGATCGGTTGCTGGGAACTTTCTTCTTCTCGTAATAGTACCAAACTTAAAGACACTTCCCCTACCGAGATGTATAACACCAACTCGTCACCTGGCTCTGGCTTGGTTAGCAAAAGCAACTCGCTCAGAAACTCCTTCAATTTTTCAAACACCATCTGCGCCTCGTCACTCCATTAGAAAGTCGTCTTCTTCTTAAGCAATTTAAACAAAGGAAAGCTTTTTTCGGCTGATCGAGCAATGAACCTGCTCAACCCCGCAATTCTCCCCGTCAAGACTTGCACTTCCCTTATGTTTCGCGGAGGTGCCATGTCGAGTATGGCCCTCACCTTCTCCTTGTTCACCTCAATTCCTCGTTCTGTGACAACATATCCCAAAAATCGCCCCGCCCTTACTCCAAAGGCATATTTGCTCGGGTTCAACTTCATCCCAAACACCCTAAGGGTCATGAAAGTTTTCCTTAAGTCGTCTGGGTGTGAAGTCGAGGACTTACTTTTCACCAAGATATCGTCCACGTATACTTCCATATTTCGACCAATCTGAGGTTTGAACATGCGATCCATCAATCGCTAGTAAGTTGCTCCTGCATTTTTGAGGCCAAAAGGCATGACAACATAACAATATGTCCCCTTGCTCGTCATGAAACTCACTTTACTTTGATCATCCGGGCCCAAGGGAATCTGATGGTACCCTTGAGATGCGTCCATCATGCTCTGCAACTCGCAACCGGCCGTGGAGTCGACTAGTTGGTCAATTCTCGACAAAGGATAATGGTCTTTTGGGCATGCCAGGTTCAGGTCACGAAAGTCAATGCACATACGCCATTTGTTCAACGCTTTCCTCAACATTACTGTGTTAGATATCGACTCAGGAAATTGGATCTCTTTGATGTGTTTAGCTTTCATCAACTTGTCCACCTCGACTTCAATTGCTTTGTCGATTTCAGCTCCATGATGCCTGAGTCGCTGCTTCACTGGCTTTCCGAGGGGATCGACATTGAGTTTGTGTTCCATGACATCCGAGTCGATTCCCGTCAACTCCTCAGGGGAGAAGGCAAATATGTCCCTGAATTCCTTCAGCAACTCCACCAATTGTTTTCGTAATTCGCCCTCCAATTCTCTCCCGACTTTTGTGGTTTGGTCCTCCTTTTCTCCGATTTGGATTTCCATTAACTCTCCATGGGGCTCGAGATCACTTCCTCTCGGCCTCTTCTTGCTTGTCATTGGCTTCTTTCCTTCCTTAATTTTAGCTCGTTGATTAGTTTTGACCGCGATCTGATAGCATGTTCTTGACAACTTCTGGTCTCCTCGAGCCTCTCCTACTCGATCTCCAACGGGGAACTTCAGTTTCATGTGATAAGTCGATACCACTTCCTGG